CCAGCATGAAGTACATAGTGAGACTGTCTCAAAAAACAAGAAAAAGAGAGAGAGAGAGAGAGAGAGAGAGAGAGAGAGAGAGAGAGAGAGAGAGAGAGGAAGAGAAGGCGGAAGAGGAGGAGGAGAGAGAGAGACAGAACTTTGAAAATAAAATGTTGTTTTGTTGGAATTATCCAATTAGACTTTTAGGTAGTGTTAGCGACAACTGGCTTATATTCAATTCATTTTGATTTATGTGTCTTAAGATAAAACATTTAGCACTTAGATGTGCTAAGAAATGTTGTGATTATTCCTTAATGGTGTAAAATATTTCATACTTCGCTTCCTCTCTCAACTCACGAAAGGCTCCTTGATTTTAATGCATTTTTCAGAGTACTATATCCATTTTTAGTGAAATCTCTTAGACAACAAACCATAAAATAAGAGTTGATGTCATGTATTTTGAAGTTTTCTGGTCATGAATTGAATTTGTGTGTACTTCCTTAGGACGATTGTGAGCTGTGGAGTGCTCCAAAATGTGTCATTCAGAGATAGGGATAGTTGGAAAGTATCATTCAAACACAACTTCTTACTCCACAAAGTTAGGAAGTATTCATTTATTAGATGATAGCAGAGCACTTGAGCTTTGGCTTCTCTTACAAAATGAGACAGTTTCTGAACAATGTATGTATTCTAAGTGCAAAGAAACCCTTAATCAGTATGTGCTTTTTCCCCTACTAATACCTTGACCTTGTTAGTAATTCATTTATGAGAGTTTTTATTTTCTTTAGGAAATAATAACAGACCTGTTGTATTTAGAGCTCAACGTGTTCTCTGGTGCTGACAGTAAGGGAGGAATTAAGGAAGCCGCTATTCTTGTAAGATTTGATAAAAAATATGAAGTGGGTATTTAAAAAAATAACACACCCTATGAAAAGAAATTATTAGCAAAACGAACCATATTAAAATGCATACATAAGCAGAATACTAGAGGGTATGTTCACTAGCTTTTTGTTACTGTTACAGAATACCTGTGATAGTGAAATCCAAAAGAGGGCACGTTGACTGCAGCGGACACTTGTGGAGGTGTTGGCCCACAGTTGGCTACTGCATTGCTGTGGGGTCTGTGGTAAGGCAGCATAGTCCTGGCAGGAGCACGAGGTGGAAGAAGCTACTCACCTCAGGGTGGCCGGGAAGCAAAAAGAGATGAGAAGGGTCCAGACCCTAACGTCACCTTTAAGGGCACGGATCCCATGACCTAAATTCTTCTCCACTGACCTCCCCTTGCAAACATTCCACCCCCTCACAACAGCACTGAGACTTTAAACACAAGAGTCTTGGGGGTGGGGGAGAATGTTTTCAAACCATGGAAGAATAATATTTTAGTTCAGAATCCATTTCTGCAAAGAAACTGCTTTAGAAAAATTAGAATACTTTCAGCAATCAGAGAATACACTCATATTTAGGATATCAGCAGGGCATCAAAGTAGAAACCATGGTGAAGTGAATTCACACTAATACACCCTTTTCCTTGGTGAAGAGCTGTGCCTTTATGCTCCCGTCTGGTCCCACTCTCTGTTACAGAGCAGCCTCCTTTTCCATCCTCAGGGGCCCAGATGGCCCGGGATTCCTACCCATAGGTGTCTTCTGTCCTCACTCTGGTCCTTCTGATTATGGCTCAAGCCTCTTGTATCCTTCACTTCCTGTTGTCCAAGCCACAGATTTTCATTGCATTTATTTGGCAATGTTTGGAAATAAACCCTAGTGCCCTGCACATGCCACTCCCATTTCTATTTTGTGATAGGTGGAGTTAGCAGTGATTATTTTTCCACATGGGTATCACATTTTTGCTTTGGCGTTTTGTGCTTCATTCAGGCCTGTGCAGAAGGAGCTCTTGGTCAGACCTGGTCACAATCTTCAGTGTCTTCAGTAAAACGCCATCTAGCTCACTAATGCAATTGCTGACCATTTAAAAAAAAAAGTCTACCTCAGTGGTATTTTTTGTTTATTAACAAGATCAGATAGAACTTAAAAAGAGATTTCTTCTTAAATCAATTTCTTTAATAACACACAGTGACTAAGTTGTATTCATTAAATAGAAGAACTACTTTGGTTTTTTTGATAGAAGCTGGAGGCTTGTAAATAGTTGTTAGTGATGTCAGGAGCAATTTGGTAGTGCTGGGGTTTGGACTCAGGGCCTTCTCATAGAGGTACTACAATCCTAGCATTTTTAAAATTTTTGATACTGAGACAAGGTCCCACTAAGTCACTAAGTTGCCCAGTCTGGGCTTAAACTTGCAGTCTTTATGCCTCAGCCTCTCAGCATGATAGGATTAGAGGTATGCCCCTACCCCTAGCTAAGAACAATTTGCTTTAACTGTAGATATTAAATATGCACTTATTCAATTTTGATTCTTGCCAACTTCTCAACTCAGCATTTTGGGCAGGAGAAAACATAGCACCATTGCAATAGATTTTAAATATGAATGCTGTCCTGTTGTGCATCTCTTTTCATTCCTGGGATTGGACACAGCTGCAGAGATCCAGCACGTTTGATGTATTAGACCTGTCAGTTCAAGAATTTACGTGGCTGTATAAAGATACCCATCTATGGTGGACAGCCCATCCAAATAGAAGACCCAGCCAGCTGGCCTCCAACCCAGTTTGCTTCTCCTATCTTCTTCTGGCTTGCAATCACCTGGCTTTGGGGGAGAAAGTGAGTCAAAGTGATACTTGGTTTGAGTGGCTCTCAACTATTTTCCTGTGAAACTTAAAAGTGTATGCGCTTTAGCTAAAACATGTCACTATATTTTGAATAAGCACCATAGGAGTCCATGCACTGGCAGTTTCTTTAAGGCATCAGAAGAACTTGTGTTTTGATTAGAGTTAGCATCTACTCATATAAGTTTTATTTCTAGTTCTATTACTTCCTCAAATTGTCCCTATTAATAAGGCCAATTTAAAAATAATAACTATGCCTGCATATTAAGGCAGTGTGTGGGCTCTTGCCAAAGTTTTGAGTTTACAACTTCTGACCGACTTGCTGGTTTCTGTTATGTAATGGAAGAATACAAATGTGAATTTGATCCGAAGCCTGTTTACGCAGTGACTTTTACAATGTATATCTAAAGGTAGAGGGTTTTAGGAAGCCAGTACTTATTGCCAAGTCCCTACTCTACCCTATTCAAGAGGGAGCTGACCCTTAAGTTGAATGGAGAACAAGGAGCTCTGAGTTAAAACATTTTACTACGTGTCACATCTTGCCATTACTAAGTAAGATAAGGACCTAAGTAGAGAATCTGTATTCTGAACTGGGGGATGGAATGCATATATTTTTTGAGAATGGGAAACATGTTTAGAATAGTGTATGTCATTTCCTTAGTCTAAATTCAGGACATTTTCCTAAGGCATGTAACAATATAGACTTACATAAAAACATGTCAATAATTAGTAATTTGTGAAATTCGATGGTTCACATGTTATGAGCCAGGTCTTTTTTTTTTTTTTTTTTTTTTTTTTTGAGACAGGGTCACCCTGTGTAGTGCAAGCGCACCTTGAACTCACTATATAGCTTAGCTGGCCTCGAACTCACAGCAATCCTCCCACTTCAGCCCTCTAAGGACTGGGACTGGAAGCACGTGCCACCATGCCTGGCTTCTAGGCTCCTTTTGATGGATAAAGAAGTAGAGGTGATTTGTAAATCTTAAGGGTGGAGACTCCCTGTGGGGAATTACATGTCGGCACCTGAACTTCAGAGAGGAAGGTGGGGTTGGGAGAGTCAATTTGTAAGTGATCTGCAGTTGGTGGTGCTAGAAGCCACAGGAAGGGGCCAAGTTCTCCTGCAGGAGAATGTGGAGTAGGAGGAGGAGCAGGGTGTTTAACACTGAACTGCACGCAGCTCTGTCTTAGCGGAGGGAGGGGGGTGAATCTGCAAACAACATTGGCAAACCACAGGCTGAAAGTGAGGGAGCACGAAGGGCTTTGTGGGGTAGCAGCTAAGGGCAAGCTCATTTCAAGAGGTGGGAAGTCAAAAGTGTTCATTGCTTCTGACAAGTCAGCTGTGCTGTGTGCTGACCATATCTGTTGGATTTGGCATCGACATCACCAGTGATCTTAGGGTGACTTCTTCTGTGGCACAACTGAGGTAGAAAGCAGATTGGCACGGGCCGAGCCTTGTATGAGGGGTGAAGAAAAGGAGTCTTAGCATAGACGTTTCTAAGTTCAGCAGAAAGGAAGGCAGAGTGTGAGGTGGCAGGTAGAGGAAGGAGGGACATACGCATACAGGGTGAAAGCCAAAGAAGTAATGTGAATCAGAGCATCCATCCACAAATGAGAGAGAAAAAAAGTGGGTATGTAATTACCCAATAGGAATGTCAACTGGTATCTCTGAGGGCTGGGCCCACCCAGGGGATTCTGGCAAAAGCTTGGCATAGATTCTCAAATTAAAGTGTTAGAATCATTTTGGTGAGTGCACACCAAGAATCTTCTCCAGGCCAGGGAGGAGGAGTGGCAGGCGTAAGGCTGGGCAGCACTGCCAGTTAGTAACGAGAGGCTGACTTCCCGTGCTGCTCCCTGGCTCATCATGTCGGACTTCTGAGGTGTTCTGCGCTTTATCAGAATAATTAAAGGTTCTTTAATTTATATCTTATGAAAGGCCACTTTGAAACTGTCTATCTGAAAATTTGATTTCAAATGGCTCTATCCTGATAATTCTGGTGAGTAGCCTGGGTAACAAAAAAAAAAATTAATGAATAAAATCTCTCTTTGCAGCCCCACACAGACCATGGGAACCTAAGGCGATCTATTCAAAGGGTTCCTACAGCAAGGGGTTGAGGGACAAATTAAGTCTGGGAAAGGTTTTGTTTACAGTTAGCAGACACAGAAGGGTTGGGGAGTGGGGGATGGAGGCTGCAATTTAGCGAGCTGTACTAAGTGAGAGCAAAGCTTCCTCCACCTATTTCCCTGTAAATTCAGCTACACTTCCTGAAATCATATTAATTCTGTCCTCTCGCTTTTACTAGGGCATAATGACTACATATGTCCAGCTACCAACCAGTGCACGATTGATAAAAACAGGAGGAAGAGCTGCCAGGCCTGCAGGCTCCGAAAGTGCTACGACGTGGGGATGATCAAAGGCGGTAGGTGCACGTGCCCCCGGCCCGTCTGGGTGGCCTTGGCTATTGTCCAGTGCTGGCTGTTTGTATTTGGATGACCGTGGGGAGATTAATGTTTTCTAATTCATTTTTTCCTGTTCTTATTTTGCATCACAGCAAAATGTATTTTCATCATGTAATTTATTTTAAAACACTGGAAGACACTGGGTCTATAATTTTCATCATGACATTGGTGTTTTATATTTTCAATGTAAATAATTATATTTAAATCAGAGGTGTGTGGGAGGTAGAGTGGAAGGAAAGAAAGATGGCTCAGTGAATTGTTCTGGGAATGTGTTTTCAGTTACTATTTATATTGTTAATAATAGAAAATGATAGCTCTTCAATTGAGACTTGTACTTCTGAGAACCAAATAGCTAATTTTTATTTATTTTTATTTTAAAGATGATAAAGTCAAGGAAAATAAAACAATTAAAACAAATGGGTGTAAGTGATACAGGACTTCAAAACCTTACAAAATCAACAATAGTTACCTTTTGTTGTCTTCAAAATAGCTGCAGATACCTTTGGACATAGTAAAAATCGAATAAACAGAATAAATAATGAATGCAATAAAGATCTTCAAAATAAGCTAATAGTAAATCCAAAATGGCTACCATAATGTCTGCTGTCTTTCAAATAGCTGCTCCTGCCATCAGATTTAACATAATCAAACAAAACAAAAGAGAATAAAACCGACCCAAGAAAACAATGAAAATGATGTGGTTTCCAGGTGGGGATCATCTCCTGGTGAGGCCTAGTTCTCTCCCTCTGCAGTCCACAAATGGAGCTGATTACCAAGAGAGGCTTGGGCCTGGCTGTCCCCACTCTGACAGCAGCTTGCACATGGCACTGGTTCCCAGGTAGGGGTCACCTCCTGGTGAGGCCTGGACCTCTCACCCTGTAGTCTGCCAACGGCACTGATTCATTGAGAAAGGTTTGAGTCTGACTGTCTCCACTCCAACCGTGGCCCATGATTGGCCCTGGTTTCCAGGTTAGGGTCATCTCCCTTTGAGGCCTGGTTCTTTCTCTCTGCAGTCCACAAATGGCCCCAAACAGCTAATTTGATACCTTTCAATTTCTTAGCATGCCTTGGGAACTGAATTTCAACCCCAAAGCATTGTTCTTTGGAAGCTGAGTTGAAAAAAACACATCTTATTGTATCAGTGCTGAAAACAGCTCTAAAAAATCTCCAAGAACTCAAGTTTTGGGCACCCTGTGATTACCGTTGTGGCTTCAGGCGTTTGTGTGGCTTCAGGCATTTGTGTGGCTTCCTGTCTCCTCATATAGTCAGTCTTCTGGTTTTTGCATCTAGGAATCTGAATGCCAATTCTGGAGGTATTTAACGCTCCTTAATGTGGTTGTCAGATTGTTCTCTTCATGTGCCTCTTGAATCTCTTGAGGAACATTGCATCATTGTATCTAGACTTCTACAGCCTTCTCCATGGTAGAGAGGCAAACAGGCACTGTGTAAGCAAAATCCAAAAGCGTCTAGGGTCCCACAGTGACATGGGAGAAAGGGAGTGGACAGTGATCCCGTTTCCTGCTGACTGTCCTGGCGAGAAGTTTTCAGAAGCAGGCAAGGCTTCAGATGAGCTAAGGAGAGCAGAGTTGCAGTGAAAAAGAATGGTGATTTTGCCAATGGAGAGTGACTAACTCTCAGCTCCTTCATGGCCAGATAAAGAGGGGAGAAGAGGGAAAACTAAGAATGGAAATCAAGATGAAGGTTGCTTGATCATTGCACAGTTTGGAACTGCAGCTCCTTGCTCTGGTTGAGAGTTTGAATATAGCATTTGGAGTAAACTGTCTCAGTGAACAGATGAAGAGTGGAATTTACACATAGTGTGAGATGCAACTATGTGTCTTAAACATCTGAAAAAGCAGCTTTAATTCAAAGGTAATTAATTATAAGAATTGAACTACCACATTTGGAAAATGACACCTTGAACCATATCTGGATTAAATATTTAAAGAATGCACTTTTCCAAGTTTGAAAATTAGGTTTAATTAAACCCATAAAAAATTTCTTGATAAGTGACAGGAACATAAGAGCTACATAAGTAGTTAATTTGAAATGGCAGAGTCCAAATTTAATATTCTTAGACAATTTGTTAAGCCAGGATCTTCATTCTTACTGAAAATTGAAACAACCAACCTATGAGTATGTCCAAAACATTTTTAAAAATTCAGTAATACCCATACATTGACACTGCTCATAAAAACAAGTCTTTTGTCCTAATTAATATCCAGATTCAATCTGGTTGCATAAGTATAAATTATGCATTTTCATTTTTAATCTAATAAAAACTAATTTGCAAATCCATGATAAAAGACCTCTGTACATTTTTGAATAGGAATCTGGATAACTTGACTGTACTCAGTCAGTTGGGGCATATGTATACTTGTACATGTGTATTTATGACTGAAATAGATATCTGCATTAATTTTCTGGGACTTCCATAACAAAATACCACACACTGAGTGGCTCAAATAGCAAAAGTTAATTTCCTCACATTATTAGATGCTGGAAGGCCAAGGTCAAGGTACTAGAAAATTTAATGTCTGGTGTAGCCTCTCTTCCAGATTGGCCACGTCCTCACATGCCCTTTCCTCCCACACACTCCTGGTCTTTTCCTTTTCTTGTAATGACAGCAGTTGTATTGGAGTTGGATTATTTAATCTTAATTGTTCTTCTAAAGACTCTCTTGCAAATATAGTCTTATTGGGAGCTAAGTTTTAACAAATAAATTTTAGGGGGACACAATTCACTTAAAAACATACTGCCATAAAAAATACCACAGACTGGTGGCTTGAGTAACAGAAATTGATTTGCTTTCAGCCCTGGAGGCTGGAATTCTGACATCCATGTGTTGGTACATTTGATTCTTCTGAGTCCTTTCTCCTTGGCTCAAGATTGCCTCATTTCTGTCCTGACATGACCTTTCCTCTGACAACTTTCCACTGGTGTCTCTTTCTCTTTTCATAAGGACACTAGTCATACTGGATTTAGGCCTATCCATATGACCTTGTTTAGTCTTAGTTACCTCTTTAAAGGTTATTTACCAATGTGGCCACATTCTGAGCCCTTGAGGGTCAGGGCTTTAGCATACAATTTGCAGGTACAGAATCAGTACATAAAAGTATCCTATTGGGATCACTCGATTGATTGCTCAGTTATATGTCTACATATAACAAAAGCATGTGCATTTCTGATATTTATATTATGGGTAGTTTTGAGTCAGGTTTTTCATAAAACTACAGTCTGTGAAAAAACATAATTTTAATCATATAAATAAGGGGTTTCCTATAAAAATACAATTTATTGTATTTTCTATAACATGGGACATCATATCTAACATCCTGACACCTTACATAACAACTGTTTGCTATTTTTTCTTGAGACAGGGTCTTGCTATTCGTTCAGGTTGGCCTGGAAATTCTACTGAATGGCCTTAATTTACAACTGGAATTATAATTGTACCTAACAATAAAATTTGCAGTTATTAAAAAAAGCAACTGTGACTGAATAAATTGTTATATTTTCCAACTGGCTTTCCAACTCACAACAGTTTCTTAGTTTCTTAACTAGGCTAGTTACCAATTAAGATACTGAATCTCTATGAAATTAGAAGTTTTGTTTCAGAAAACCACATATCTACCGTCTATTTTTAAATTTTTATTTTAAAAAGGATAAAACCAAGAAAAATAGAACAGAATAAAGCCAATCAAAATAAACCAATGTGATACAAGACTTAAAAGCTTTATGAAATTAATAGTTACCACAATGCCTTTTGTTGTCTTCAAAATAACTGCAGATATCTTTGGACATAGTAAAAATTGAACAGAACAGAAAGGACTAGAAACAATAAAAACAAAAAAAAAATGAATGAAATAAAGGAGTTCAAAATAAGCCAATAGTGAATTCAAAATTACTACCGTAATATGTCTTGCTATCTTGTAAATAGCTGCTCATGCTTATCAGATGTAACATAATCAAAACAAAAAAGAATTAAACCAACCCAAGAAAACAATGAAAATGGTATGGCTTCCAGGTAGGGATGCCCTCTTTGTGGGGCCTGGTTATCTCCCTCCAAAGGCTGACAATGGTGCAGATTCATAAGAGAGAGGCTTGGGTCTGGCTGTCCCCACTCCAGTAGTGGCCTCTACTTTCTACTTTTAAAGCAATACTGAATACTTTTACTGAAGATTTACCTTAAGATAAAATATTTATCTATATGAAAAAATAATTTTAACCTGTGAGAATGCCACTGTCTCTGACAATCTTCATTATCATTAGATTTGCTCCTGTGTCATGGTGGATTTAAGATGCGGAATTTAACATGTGTCTTTGGAGATGTTTCTCATTTGAGTGCGTGTGCTCATCTCTCTAAGTTGCCTTTCCTTCTTCACCTGCCTCCCTTTCCTCTCACTTCAGATTGCAGATTAGCTGTCTCTGCTTCAGGCAGACCTTCCTGCTTCCCCTCATACAAGGCTGGGTCCCCATGTTTTAGCTTCTGTAGCAAGCAGTTCTTCTCTGAGGTCCCATCACAGTTATTAGCAGATGCCCATCCTCCTCTGTTGTTCCTAAACTCTTCAGTTCTTGCTCTCATTTTAACCTATGTAACGCTAAAGAGGTCACAAAATAGATGCTATTTTTTTGGCACAAATTGATGAATTGAGTCAACTCATTTCAATAATTATCAGTTTATAGTTTCTTATGCACACATTATTGAATATGAATAAGGCCCTCCTTCATTCTAGTAGTACCCTCATAGTCCAAAGAGGACATTTTATATTAAATGATAAATAAAAATCTGAAAGATTAATGGAGACTTGACTGGATTGGAAGATGGTTCTAACTTTGAAAAATCAGATTGAAAGTCCAGAGCTTTAGTCAACTAGTTCTGAAAATTATGCAGACTATCTGATTTCAAAGGTATCCATTGTTCCCCATGAGTCTGACCTTGTTTAGTTAATGGAAAGAG